CAGAATGCTTTGTGTAGAAATAAAATGGCTCCGTCCGTGTTAAAATACATTTTAAAAATTGACTAAACTAAACATCCTAATTTTACAGTTAAAATATATGTTTATCAAATAAAGTCTAATGTTACAACTTATCAGGGATCCCTTTAATGAATAAATGTCCACTGAGTTGGAGTCCTCAATCTACCGTTTACTCAAATGCCCCACACAGACGAGGTATTTAATGTTCAAACTGATGATCTTGATTGGTTTATTTTTTGCAAACCTTCACTCATTTTTGATTTTGATGCTGCAAGATGGTCCAAAAAAGCTGGGTCAGGGGGGAGAACAAGAGACTGGGAAAGTTAAGGAATGGTTAAAAAGAATCGACTCGTTTGAAACCTTCCACAGGTGAACAGGTTGTAAACAGGTGAGGGTCATCRTTGGGGACAAAGGGAGCATCCTMGAMAGACTCAGTCGTTCACAAGCAAGGRTGAGGTGAGGTTCACTGCTTTGTGAACATCTGCATTAACAACTGCAAGAATCTAATCTTTTTATTTTACACAACTTCATTGGGACTGGGACTGAAAGTCAACATCCAAATTAATATTTTAATTAGTTTTTATAGTAGAAATATCTGGTATAGATAGTTTGGATGATTTAAAGTGGTGTTCTTTGAAAAGTTCAATCTTTGAGGTTTTTTTATTTTTTTGTCACTTCAGTAGAAAACGAAACCAAATATTAGTTTATTTATTTCTTCATCGTCAGTGACTTTTTTTTTTGTTGAGGTTTTAACCCCGGGGACACCAACCTTGCGGATGCCCTCCGACGGGCTGGACACGGAGTAGTCCATGCCGTTGTTCCTGCTGATGGTCCTCCACAGCTCTGCGTAGGTGCTGTCCTGCTCCAGAGGGTTGGTGCCTTTGTTCATGAAGTAGTCGTAGACGGCGGAGTCCCTCACCGTGCCGTAGTCCACSTCGATCTGCCTCGCCAGGTCCTGGAAGGAGCTGCAGAACCCGGAGAGGACAGACRGGACCCTCATCAGAGGCATCATACACGGTTCGTCTCTGAAGGGTTTGTGTCGGGAGAAAATCTACCTGAGATGGTTTACCTGGTTTTCATCTTTACATGATTTAAACAGGAACAGACTGATTTATCTTTAGTTTACAGCTTTAACCTTTTAAAAGCTTCAGATTTGTCCTTTAATCCTGTTTATAATAACTGAGCTTCAGCTAAACCTGAAACTCTTCATCATTTGGTGTTTTCATCATCATCATCATCATCATCATCAGTGTGAATGAAACATTACATTTTTGGCTTCAATCAGAAAGCAAAAATAAATAAATAAATAAAAGTCAAGGTCCGTCTACGACTCCTCGTGCTTTAAATCTATTTAGTAAAGAATTATTGACTTTTAAAGTTAAATAAGTAAGAATTTCACACTCAGGATGATTTTATAAAGCAGCTAATTTCCACTGGATCCTTTAAATTTACCTTTTAGAACCGAAACACAAACTTCATTTGAAACCCTTTGACCTCACCTGTAATTGGGTTTAAGTCATAAATTAAACGATTTAATGTTTTTCCTTAAAGGTAGCTTTTTATTCAATAAATGATTGATGTTTTTCTGCCAGAAACTCTCTTATTCTTTAATTTTTTAGCTCTTCTAAATGATTCATTTTCACCCAGGAACAGAATATTTATAAAGGTTGAAGCGATTTCAGAGTAATTTCAATTATAGTTCTAATTGTTCCTTAACGAAAGGGAAGTTTTTAATGAGTCGTTTGAATTTTTGCGGGGCTAATCTATTAAATCTGTGGTTTCGGTTTGTCTCCATTAATTAACATAAAAACTGGCGAGCGGCAGGAGATGTTAATTCATTTAGGTAAATGTTGAGTTAAAGAATAAATTACCCAAAAAAAAGTAGACCAGCAGGAATCTGAGACAAGTTCAGACTCTACAAGCTTTTATTTTGAAACTCTAGTGTTTTTGAACTTTAAATCCTAACTTCTGCATTTAATTCTCTCAAACCTGAGCGTTCTAAAAAAACAAAACAAAATGTGAAAACTATAAAAACTTAAAAATGAAAGATTTAACCGTAAAAAACAATTACTTAATTCTAGTTTTTATACAAAATAAAAAAATAATAATTTGCAGTAAATAAAACCTGAATCCATGTGGAAAACATTTCCAACTTGAACATCCTTCCAGTTTGACCCTCTGACTGGGTTGTTTTATTAACAGGAACTAACCTTCATTAACTGTGCATCTGGACCAGTTCATTCTGGTCCATCTGAGCAGAACCAGAGCTCCAGTCACTTTATTGAGATGAAGATCATCAASTCAATCTATCTTCCTGAGGCTAACGCCTCCTGGAACGACCATAAATCAGCTGGATTTAAGGATTTATTTTAGCAGCTTTCAAAACAAGAAATTACTATTTTTCATTCAGATATAAACAAAATGTATAATTATTAAACTTTAAGTTTCCTACGTGTTCTGACCTCTTTAAGGGGGTCAAACTCTCACTTCCCCACCCTAACCTGTGTGACGAGTCAGAACCAGAACGATACCCTCGCTTAAAATTCTTATCATTTCAGCCCACCTCCGACGAGCGKTAAGTTTTTCTTTATTACAACGTGTATTAATACACATTACCGCAGTGTGATTACAAGAAACACACGCTGATGTTTTCCAGATTTACTTTCRCGGGTGGAGCTGTAAAATAGTTTAATCTGGTGTTAAAGCCATTGKAGCCAAACTGGTCGAGATTAACCACGTCATCATGTTGATGAAGGTTTATTGTGATTTTTTTTAGAAATGAAAATTAGAATTTATCAATGGAAGTACACTGTATATGTTAATCTGTTTTAAGCAGCTGCTGCAGAGTTTAACTGGAGGCAGCAGGAAAAYAATCATTTCTTACTGCTATTAAAACGTAAGTTAATTGTTTTATGCTTCATTGTTTATTAACTGCACTTCTCTGTTTTATGTTTTGTGTGTGTAAAGTGGATGTTTGTATTGTGTATTGTTTCAGATGGACACCTCTGCTGCACTGTCATCAGAATATCTGACATGTAAAAAGTGTTAAAAACGTAATAATTTCTGCTCAAATGGAGGATTTTTAAGCAGTTTTGGCAACAAATTGAAAATCTTCCAAAGCACTTACTAATGTTTGAAAGTTTCTGGAAAAATGTTTCTTTAACAACCGGGACGTGTGAGAACCAAGGGGGGCTTGTTGAAAGGGGTAGGACATTTGGGAACAACTGGGACATTTGGGAACAACTGGGAC